AGGTAGAAGAAGTATCGGGCGACCACGCAAAAGATGGAGTGATAACCTCCAATAGAGGCATTAATCGACATTGAACAAGCATTTTGCTTATAAGAAAGAAGAAGAAGAAGATCCATCTTATTTATTCCTCTTTCTTTTCTTTCTCTCCTTTTTCTTTTAAATTGCTCAAAAGGCAGTGCTGTATATCAAAGCTGGTGTTTTTCATCACACCTATCGATGGAGTCTAACCGATGTTTCAGATGGAGCCACCTTTGTACTACAATACAATTTGATTGCAACAGTTCAAGATATAATTCTTGTTTAACGAGATTTTTCATTTGTTTCGGAAAAAATATTCAACGTTTTATTGCAAATAGTTTCCACTTTTGCAGTGTTATATGTGTTGGTATTAAATTTTTTTCGGTTTAATACCGATGTATAGTGTTACGATATTAAATCATAAATATTTTACAATTATTTTTGTTGCAGCAAAACTGGATGGTGTAAAGACGTATATGCGCATGCGTAGAGTACCTAACCATCTTCAAGTCAAAGTAATAAAATGGTTCGACTATCTTTGGCTCACCCAAAAGTGTTCAGATGAAGAGAGAGCGGTTTCCTGTCTTCCAGACAAGCTCAAGGCTGAAATAGCCATCAACGTTCACTTGGATACTCTAAAAAGGGTGGAAATCTTTCAGAATACTGAGGCTGGATTCCTGTGTGAATTGGTGCTTAGGCTAAGGCCGGTTCTGTTCTCGCCTGGCGATTATATTTGTAGAAAAGGTAAGATATTTGTCTATATAATTTAATAATAGATATTTATTTAACGATAATATAGGCATTCATTCTTTATACAAAATCCACATTCAGCTTGCCTTCATAATCAAATTTTGATGGCAAGGTGAATATTGGCAGTCCTACTTTTGCTTTAAGTCGTAGTTACTAAATCATCATATATGTAATATACTTTTTACAATTTTTAATTATAATACTCCAAAAATTGAGGAGAAAAAATATTATTGTCTACAAAAAATTTCTCGACTTCAAGATTTATTAATAGTACAGCGAAATAAGCAAAAAAGCCCCTTACCCCCTCTGTGGCTCAGTGGTAAGAGCGCCTGCCTTTAAATCTAAAGGTCGTGAGTTCGAATCCCACCTGGGTGGAAATTTTCGTTTATTAAAAAAATTAATAAATGAAAATAATTTCTATCCTTGTGTGATCGGTACACACTGGAGGGACCGCAGACGTTCGGATACAATTAGCGTCTCTTAGCAAAGACAATGACGTCGACTTTGCTAAGTATCAAGACAATTACTCTACACACACACACACACACACACACACACACACACACACACACACACACACACACACACACACACTACACCTCAAATTGTAAGATTGGCGAATGGATTTAGTGTCCGCAGTCATTTAAACACAAACAAACAACAACAAAAAGCCCCTGTTCGGAAATGTGACATATCCAGATATCTGTATTTTTATTAGTTATTATAGGCCTGCATAAAGAAGATCTATTCATTGTATGCAGAGACTCCTGCGTCTTGTTTTAGTTATTAACAATTTAGTGAAAAAACGTATTTTCTTACAGATTATTTCAAATCGAGTGGCGATCCCTTCCAAGAAATAATTAATCGCGCAGGCAATAGAATATCTATGATCAGATCCATGCAGTGGCATTGGAATATTAAACAAATTAAATTACTTGAAATTGCACTAAGTACAAAATTATTACTCACTTAAATAATAAATAGAGTTTGATTGTACACAGATTGTTTCATAGATACCAAACTTTTTGTTTGTTATAATATCGTTTTCCATAAATTGCCGGTTCCAAGCCCGGATGATAAAGGAGGAGGAGTCTACAGTCAGGTTAGCACCCTCCTGATAAACCATAGAGCTCATAAAAACAGGATATATATATATATATATATATATATATATATATATATATATATATATATATATATATATATATATATATATATATATATATATATATATATATATATATATGTATATATATATATATATGTATATATATGTTTATTCTATACCGTGTAGTAACTGTAATAAAATTTACATAGGAGAATCATCTCGTAATTTTCACAGCAGGGTGATATCACATCGCAGTGATATAAAAACCAAAAAAATCAATGCATGTGCATTGACAGAACATGCACTAACTCTAAAACATGAGTTCAAGTTCGATGATTCCTGTATTTTGGCAAAAGAAAAGAACCATTTAAAACGTGTTTTTTTGGAAATGTGTTTCATAAAATCTAGCACATCTTGCATCAATAAAAAGTCCGATATAGACAAATTAAGTAACATTTATTGTTATTTACTAGAAAAACACCAAAAATAAAATAAATATTTACCTGTACAAAAATTACACCTCTGTATAATATGTTGCATACCATTAAGACAGGTTAAAAAAGTATAGACACCTAAGAAGGGCCTCTAGTATTTCTTGTAAAGAAAGATTTCTTTACAAGAATTTCTTTACAAATTTTAAAATTTTCAAAATTTTATGATGTATTATGTCCATAATTGTATATTTTAATGTGTGGTATAAATGTTGAGTGTTCAATGCTTACAAAAATAATCTCAACGACTAGTAAGTTACACTGAAGAATTGTGATATTTTTTAAATATTTACATAATTGTCTTTTACAGTGTCTTGAAAAAGAAATAAAACCATTCCGAAAGCTCTACAAAAAGTCAAAAGAGTGTTTTTTTTAACATCCCGGCCAATATTCTGACTGCAACCCTAATAAACTGTGTTGTTTGTATATATATATATATATATATATATATATATATATATATATATATATATATATATATATATATTAAATGTTCGGAAAGACTTCCGCGGTTAGTACAATGAAACCTAGAGCTAAGATTAATGTTATTACTAAAATTAATATCAAACTCACCAGTCTTCCAGGTTGAACCGCGTCGATATCCATTTTGCCGAGCTTTCGGCATCCTCTCTGATGCCTTCCTCAGGGCTTCCGAGGTCTCAGTCTCCCGAGCTTCCAGACACTACTACACTTTTCACTGATCACTGCGCTGTCACTACTAGGGCTGGGAATAAATAATAAAAATAAAAATAAAAATAAAAATAAAAACATTTATTGCCATACTATAATGAAATACATGTCAAAATTGATATCTTAGCCTTCTTTCTTCTGCGTTCCGCTCTTGCACCGCCAGCATTTGAATCTTCTTCCTCTCGGTTCCTGGATTATTCTGGGTGGTGTCCTCGTCTGCTTCTGTAGGTACTGTATCGGCAAACGTACCTACTTACGGCTGGGAACAGAAGACGGTTCATTTATATAGTCGATGATGGCGTGGCCTAGGTGGGGTTTGGCGCGAGAGTTGGCACTGGGGTTGGCGCGAGAGTTGGCGCAAACATTTCCGACTGTGGAATTTTGATTCGAGGGTGGAGGGGGCGATATTTTCTTTATGAGAGGTCTCCATGTACAAGGTAACCGTATGGCGTCATCTCTTTTATTAAGACAATTTGGCCTTTTTTCTATTTCTATGGCTTCTCGGATAATTCTTGGTTTGTAGAAGCGGATGGGGGCTATGGTTCTGGAGTTTTTAAAATCAATTTTATGACCTGTATGACGATGGTGTTGACCGAGAGCTGAAATTGAATCAGAATTGCGAACAGAAATGGAATGTTCATAAATCCTATTTTGGATTCTATGATTTGTTTGGCCTATATAGGATCGGGGACAGTCTGCAAAAGGTATTTCATAGACTCCGTGTTGTTTATTTGGAATATTGTCTTTGATAGATCGGACAAGAGATGAAAGTTTTTGTTGGGGAGTAAATATTGTTTTATTCCTCTTGGTTTCAGAATTCTGTCGATTTTGTCAGTGACACCTTTGATATAAGGAAGAAAAGCTTTCGTATGATAAAAGTCTGAGTCTTTGGGTTGAGAATGAGTGGGAGATTGATGTCTGTGAATGCTCCTATTGATGTGATTTTCGCGGTAACCGTTTTGGATTAGGGCTTGTTTTAAACAAGAGAGCTCAGCGGGTCTACTTGCATCATCGAAAAGGCGTATTGATCTGGAGACAAGGGTATTAATGACTGAATTAATTTGTGAAGGTGGATGCGGAGAGTTGGCATGCAAGTAACGATTGGTATGTGTGGGTTTTCGATAAACAGAGTAATGGAAACCTTGGGATTGGTTTTTCTTGATGAAAACATCCAAAAACGGTAGAGATCAATCAGTTTCTATCTAACTGGATACTAGGGTGTATACCATTCAGATGAATTTGAAAAGATACTAAAGCATCCCTGCCATGGGGCCAAATGACGAATGTATCGTCAACATATCGTAGCCAACATGTGGGCTTGAGCATTGATGTGGATAGTGCTCGGGTCTCGAAGTCTTCCATAAAGATCTATATTATATGGCAGAAAACATGGACAATGTGGGATATAGCAAAATTAAATTGCAATGAATTTAAAACCACCTAACAAATTTAAGGATCTGTCCGTTGCCGAATGTGTCAACAATCAGATTGCCCACTCTGATTGTCAAGATAAGTACGCGCATCTTGTTCGCGCAGACGGAATCAGTCACGTTTTAAACGGAACCAGTGTTCAGTGAAATTTTATCTGTTGTGAATAGAAAAATTAACCTGGTTTAATTTATTTACGGCAACAATAGACATAATATACACTATTTTATTCGTACTTTTAGTTGAAAAATAGAATAAATTATTATTCCAAATTTACACGGCTATTAACAAAACCATTAAACACCACGAAGGACAATAAAGTAAACAAATATGAAATTTAATAAAGTTCTGATATTTTTAAACCCATTTTAAAAATTTTAAATAAATAAAAGCAAAAACAATGATTAAATCCAAATAAGTGATAAAAATAATGTTAATATTTGGAATACTGGTAAATAAATCAAGTAAATGATCAAAACAACATATTCCGTAAATAATTTTTATTACAACCGTATCACATATTTATTATTCTGTCTTATTGGACTCTTCTTGGTGCCCAAGACAAGCACCTATGGGACAGTGGCATTGTTTGTTAATAGCTAGATCTCTAGTCCTAGCAATAATAGCTAAGGGATCTTCTACAGTTGACGCATTATTACCAGAATTTTCAATATCAGCATCATTGTTATTATTTCCATTCGTTACGTCAGTTTTTTTCTCATTTTTAATGAGATCATATGCTGTAATTATTATATGTTTTGCCTGTGTTATTACCACTTTAGTATATTCAGCTGCTTGTTCTGGATAACACATTGCAGCCACACCAAGGGCTCCAGTTGTCGCATATACGGTTCTTTTAACATATCTGCCTCTTATTCCACATAAAAATCCCGTTAACGCTCCTATTGTTATTGCACCCACTCTAGGCAATACATTCTCTTCTTTCCTAAGATAGTATAAAAATGAGTCAAACTGCTTTTTACCCCTTTTTAAATGCATAATTCCATGACTTTTGTATTGCTCCGCGTCTTCGCTTAATTCTTCAGTCTTTTCTCTTGCAAATTTAATTAGTCTTTCGAGTCGACTTGGTGTACAATGTTCTTCGCGATGTTCACGACAAACACATTGATTGGAATATATTGGTATCTCACTAGGTCTGCAAAGGTTTTTGTTTCTTTCTGTTTGAGAACAGTCGTCGTTGGCACTCACAGATACTGCGTCTAAAATAGCTGATAAAAAATTACTTTGTCGGTTTTTCATTTCAATCCTTTAGGTAAATTTAATCATGTACAGGTTAAAGCGTGTTGTAAAGTTATGTAAAATTAAAACAATAAATTTTAAATTGTCAAATAATTCATTTTGACATTGGCACAGGCAGTTCTTCTTTTCGTCAAAATTTCTCTCAATTCTAAAAATAACTTAAATGTTACTAACTAAATAAACAATTTATATCAGTTATTGATAAAGCAGCAGCGGTTTCAATTCCTTATAAAAATTGTAGGATACGGGGTAAACCCACGGTTTGTAGACTTACAACGGTTGCCTACTCCGACTAAACAATGATCATTAAGCCCGAAATTACGTCACGAGAATACAGTAATTCGAATCGTGACATTGTTAATCGGCGTTTTTATCTCTTTGATGTATGAAAAATAGTAAAGGGAGTTATGAAATAAAGATGTTTAGTGGATTGTAATACCTTCTTCTTCTTAAGGTGCCGTGCATTTCTGCGTAGGTGTCCACCGTAGATCGTCTTGTCAGGTGGGATGTTAAATAGACACGATTAAATAATTCTGTTTTTAGGAGCATTGCGAAACATTTTATAGCTGTGGATTTCTGTCCATTGTCGAATATTGTGCAGCCATGACATTTTTTTACGTCCCAGACCTCTTCTACCCTCTATCTTCCCTTCGAGTATCAGTTGCTGAAAAGTGTATCTTTGTCTTCGTAATATGTGCCCCAAGTATGCGGTCTTCTTACTTTTTACGTAACTAAAAAGTTCCCTGTCCTGTAAGCCCGCTCTTCTGAGTACTTCCTCATTTCTGACCCTGTCCATCCATGATATTCTAAGCATTCGACGCAGGCACCACATTTCAAACACTTCAAGTTTGTTAATGGAACTGGCCTTTAACGTCCATGCTTCCATTCCGTACAAGAGAACAGGCCCCATGTAACACTTAAGCATCTTGTACCGGAGGTTGAAGTCCAATTTGCGATTAGTCAGAAACTTACGAAGCCTCAAAAAAGCATTTCTGGCTTGTTCAACTATGCTCTTTATTTAATTCTCGGGGTCTCAACCCTCGTTCAGCAAACAACCCAAGTATTAAAAGTGTCTGACCTGTTCGATTTCTTCTGCAGAGACATATATCTTTGCGTTGGGGTAATTATTTCTACTTATAATAATTGTTTTTGTCTTCTTGATATTTATTTTCAAACCCCGAGCTTCACTTGCAATAGTTAGATCATTTAAAAGGCATTGAAGATCTTCGATGTTATCTGCCACTATAGCTGTATCATCGGCATACCTGATGTTATTAATAAATATACCGTTAACTTTAATACCCTTATTAGAGTCTGCCACTGCTTCTGCGAAGGCTTTTTCTACGTATAAATTGAACAGCATTGGAGACAGTATACAATCTTGCCTTACTTCTTTTTTAATAGTGAAATCTTCTGTTTCGTTAAAATTTTGAAGACGTACTGTTGCTGTCTGGTTACAATACCGATTGGCGATAGTTCTTATATCCTTGTCATCCAATCCCAACTCTTTTAGGTATTTTATCATCAATTCGTGTTTTCAATTATTGAATGCTTTCTCATAATCGATGAAACAGACTAAATCATCCTTTCTTTGATCTAAACAATTCTGTATTAATGTTTGCGTACTAAAGATCGCTTCTCTCGTGCCGTCCATTTTTGAAACCAAACTGATTCCATCCACCGACCTCTTTACATTTCTTAAACAATCTAGTGTGAAGTATTCTCAGGAAAAGTTTTAAAAAGTAACTCATTAGTCAGTGGTCCTTGCAGAAGTTTGCACGGGGTGTTTTTGGTAGGGCGATAAATGTAGATCGAAGCCAATCTTTTGGAATCTGGCCCATATCGTAGATGTCGTTTAAAAGCTTGACAATAATGTCTAGGTTTTCTTCATTAAGTAACTTGATTGTTTCTGTGTATAATTTTAGCTTGCAAAATACTTGGGCCATTTCAAAATTTGATCGTTCCATTCTACTCTTCTATTTCTTACCCATTTCTTGCTGTTTTCATCTTGCTGTTTCTAGCTTCCTTTTTGTCTTTTCTGTGTCAGGTCACATATCAGGTCGTTTTTGCCACGTATTTCATTATTGTTCTGATGACTTTTTTTGAAACTATGTCTTTCATTTCTTTCCCAATATTTTTATTTCTACATATTGTTGCATTTAGGTAAGCTGCAGTTCTGTTTGATCTATTCACTTTATATTTCACTTTTGTTTAAAGCTTTCCGTTTATTCAATAAATAAACGTTTTATTCAATATATATACATGTTAGATCTACGCTATTCTTCCTTAAAATATAAATATTAATGGTTATGCTGACGATTTGGTTTTATATGTTAAAGGGTCAGTTATCCAACAAATGGTTAATATGACATTGTACAATGCACAATACTTATCACTCTATGAACAAGTGTAAATTCGTGTGGTTCTCGAAGAAAAAAACGCAAAATTTGGCACAAGTAAGTGACCTTGAGTTGAGTTAGAAAAATACTTCTACGTGGTCACCACCAAATTTCTTCTTCTTAGGGTGCCTTTCCGTTCCGAACTTTGGCGATCATTCTGGCTATAATGATTTTATTCGTTGCTATACGAAATAGCTGTGTTGAGGTCTTTCTATACCATGCTCTCAGGTTAGCAAAGCAGGATATTCTTCTTCGTCCTGGGGCTTTTTTTCCTTCAATTTTACCCTGCAAATGCATTGGAGTAGCTCGTATCTGCCTTAATTTCTCATTATATGTCCCAAGTACTCCACGGTGTTCATCCTCCGCAGTACTTCGTCATTGATGACTTTGTCTGTCCATGGTATCTTCAGGATACTTCTGTATAACCACAATTCAAAAGCCTGAAGTTTTGATGTTACCACCAAATTAAGCTAGCGTATCACCACGCCGTGGAAGCTATAGAGACAAAAAAGAAGAAAGAATAATGTTTTTTACTGAAAGCACAGCAGCGGTCAGATAAACTTCTTTGACAATTTACTGAGAAATGGCGCCACTCTTTACGATAGGAACAGACACAGATGGAAAATATTCTTCGATGTTCTAATACATGTACGAGGGGATTTCAATATATACCAAGGAATTTGGAAATACTACAAAAGCCATCATATAAAATATTTTAATTGTCATTATATTTCTGAACAAAATTTATACTGCATGAATTTACTTGCGCAGGTCTAAAGAAAGTTATCCTTTTTAACTAATTATATAGTTGTATCTTTATGTCGGTCAGATAGCTCAGCGAGCTGTGCGGCTGCCTCTCATTCGCTTCACTGTCGAATGGTTTAGTGGATGTGGGTCGAGCCCAAGCTCGGTGTACAGAAAACAAAAAGTCTAACGCAGCAGTTTAAAATTCTAGATGAATCTGCGGCTTAGACTAGGATATGCTGGGTTCTGATCGGCCTATGGTGGAGCAGTACGGCAAGAGATAAGGGCTTGCGGCTCGGTGATACTCCTCCATAGATACCTACCGGACGGGCGTAACGCCTAAAAAAACCGGATATATATATATATATATATATATATATATATATATATATATATATATATATATATATATATATATATATATATATGCTGTCACTATTTTTCCGGGTTTGACTCCGCGTTGTAAAGTGCTGGTTTTCTCGAAAACCATTGTTTTGGCGACGTTTCGGCAAGGTCTCACTTGCCATTCTCAAGCCTGGTGGAACTACTTCTCGTCGTTACTCGATTAGTACTGGTCGACGGGGCATTTCGGCGCTCGTTTAAATACTCTCTCGGCGGCGCGCGGGCTCTTGTGATTGGTCCTGCCTGTGTGCGAGTGGGCGGAAACCTCATAGGAAACCTCGCGAAACCTCAGGAAAAATAGTGACAGCACATATAGCTCCCGCGGAAACCTCAAAACAAACATATATATATATATATATATATATATATATATATATATATATATATATATATATATATATATATATATATATATATATATATATATATATATCTTTATGTATATTGAAACATATAAAACATTTTATAATGTTTGGAACGGCATAAATACATCTGTTGACGGTTTTTTGTAGATTGAAGGCAAAAATTCAAGAAACTTCTTGAAAAAGTGAAAAACATACCATTAAAAATAACATTGAAAATAAGAAAAAAGAAATAATTTTCTGTTGAAAGATTTAGAAGTTTCTTCTAATATGTTCCATAATGTTAAGATTCTGCTATATAAAGTAAAATAATTTTGTTTTTTAGTTATAATCCCTTGTACTATCAAATTTTGAAAAATTACTTTTTCTTTACTTTTTCTTAAACCAATTTTGTACTCCTAATATATATTGAGAAACAAAGTACCCACTCATTATATTCACAATATCCTTCAAAACTTTTTTTAGAATGATTAAGTCAAGACGCTTGTTGAAAGTGCCCATCCTGGAAAAATCTCGATAACTTTTAAGAAAAATCAGCGGCTTTTGGAGGCTCAAAGCCTGCAAAGAACTTCTCGAGCCTTTTAATAAAACGTTCTTTTTCTGGAATCGGCTCTTTATGAACGATCTGAGCGATCTGAGGTAAATAAAGTCAGAAAACAATTACTCTAAAAGCGTACTTGGATTATTCTTGAGATTAAAGATATACCGGTTGAAACGAATTGGATTTTGTAAGATTTGCTAAGAGAAGTATCTACTTAAAAGGAAAACCTAGAAGTTTAGGTAAGGTTAGGTTATATATATATATATATATATATATATATATATATATATATATATATATATACATCGTCATACTTCTTCTTTACCAACAAAGAAAATTAAATAAAAAGACCCATCGGAATAAAATTTTAAGATTTAATGTAGATAAGAATAGAAATTTGTTTGGCAAACGATCTTTTCCGTTTCCAACAATATTATCAAAAAACCCCTTTGTTTAGAATTAGAAGACATTTTACCTGTAAGTTAATCTTTTCATTGTTTGTATAATCGAGTATTAAATGACCATATTCTAATCTTTTGAAATATGTATAAATTGTGTATTGACAAAACCAATTTTAAAGTAAGCGATTTAATTTTTCTCTGAAACAGAAATTAGGCTTTTCCAAAATCATGGTAAAC